CCAAGGAAAACTTATCAGTTTTGATAAACAAAAAATTCTCAAGGCCCAAGTCACTTGCTTTGGCAGCCCTGGGATAAATAACACATAGGTATCGATGTTTAGAGCAGGTATCGGTACCGATACCGATACCTATAAGTATCTAAGTATCAATACCTAGAATCGATACCTGCCCATCACTAGTGTATACTATAAAGATTAATCAAAAGTCCAATAATATGTACAAAGACCTGGTAACCTTCACCCCCCCCCTTTCCCTAATTTATATTGTACATGTATTGTTTTTGCAGTACCCTTTTTTTTGTTTGGAATGTGCTCCTCGGTGCTTTATGTCGCACGGTTGCATGGTTTAAATTAGAACTTTAATGTTTTGTTTTGTTTTCTTTTTGTTGTGTATTAGTTTACTTAGAAAGAGTAGTTATTTCTCAAAGACTATATATTGTGGCTATCTCAATCGCCGCATAGAAATTATACGGTTGTAAGGCACGATTTTATACCGAACATTTCTTTCAGTACGTTTTCTTTTGCTGTTTTCTCATTATCACTGACCTTTTTCTTTTTGGGTAACGTTGTTTTTAAAGTTGCTCACTTTTAATTTTATTGTGCATGCACACACACACACACACACACACACACACACACACACACACACACACACACACACACACACACACACACCTATTATTTATATAGACAATTGGGACAGTACAATCTGAACTTACAGACTCTCTCTTAACTCTACCTCTCGGGGAAATTCCCACCCAACAATTTTTCGCGAGTGTGTGTATGATATAACACACTTTTTGTGGAAATAGATCTAATTCAGTTAAAGAACCCAACTCTCTTGGTTTCGATAGTGCCATAAATCGCCTCTAGCCGCTTGCTACATAACAACATAACATAACAACATAACATAACAACTTAGGCCCCGTCCACACCTGGACCGTTTTTCACCAGTCGCACGGCAGCTGCGAGTATGCAAATGAAGCAATTGATATGGCCCCTAATAGTACGCCTCGCTTCATGGTCGTCTTGTAACGTCATACATCGCAGTCGTGTGGCGAGGGGGACAGTTTGTTCTGGTGTGGACGTGGACTAATAAATGACCTTCTTACAATTTTCTTAAATATTTGTGGGGGGGTTTTCTGTTATAATATCGTGGCTTTGTGTCGCTGGTGAAATACTGACGAATTAACATGGTGATATAATCATAATAATGATGTACATGCTTTATTTACTTAATACTCGGTGGAAACGCTTCTTGGAAACATCCAGTGGAGAACTGGTGTTGATATTGTTGTAGTAGTTGTAGTAGTTATTGTTTTGTTTTTGTTGTTGTGGTTGTTGTGGTTGTTGTTGTTGTTGTTGTTGTTTTGTTTTAGTATTAGTTGTTGTTGTAGTGGTAGTAGTTGTTGTTGTTATTGTTGTTTCTGTTGTTGCTGTTGCTGTTGCTGTTGTTGTTGTTGTTTTTGTTGTTGTATGTTGATCAGGTGAAGCGCGAAGAGAGACCTACGAGTTACGGAGATGGAGACGCCAGTGCCGTCTACTTCACTCCCCCCCTCCACACATACAGACATATTTACACACACGCGCGCTTGCGCACTCACGCACATACACACACACACACACACACACGCACTCACACCCACATACATACACACACAAACACAGACACACACACACTCTCTCTCTCTCACACACACCTACTTGCACACGCCCACACCCCCACTCACACAAAGACA